TATGTCTTTTTTGATGATTTGCACATCACTTACGCCGTGCCGTTTGAGTAAAACCAGGAAAGTGTCCAGGAATTCTGGAGCAACGAGTACATCGGCATGCTTGCGGTACCTATTCGGTTCCGCCCATATATCAATCAACGGCCTTTTCGGCTCATCATACTTAACAGCATCGTGTGACCATTTCGTCATTAATTTTCAAGTTGAAAAAAAAGAAAATTTTTGTCGCTTTGGCTTAAAGCAGCAATGAAATTAGCTATTATAGCTTACGTGATTTAGAGCAAAACCATCAGCTTCCACTTTTTCTAGCCATTCTGTGCTCCTTGTTTGAAAACGTAAAAGGCTGTACCTAAAAAGACAAAACTGAAACCCACTGAGCGGGCAAACATTGTTTTTTTTTTTTCACTGAAACTGATCAGGGACGCTTATCAGTCCTTCCATTAATCCTGAACTTCACTGAGGCTGTCCATACTTTCGACGTGGAATTGCCCGGTGTTAGTGTAAAGCTGTTCCATCCATTTGATCCTGTATTGCATATCCCTATGATACTGTTCTGTTGTTTCTGCGAAATTAGTAGATTAAATTCGATTTCCAAAAAAAAAATATCAAATAAAAACTCGAAAGTGTTGAAATTTGGCCTGCTAAAGGCATGATAAAAAACACGCGATACATACTCTTTAGCATGTCTGTGGATTTAAAAAAAATTGTAAAATAGTGTCGTAAACAACCAGATTGCTCAGTGAGTTGCTTTTTAGAGTTAGTACGAAATAATGGAACAATTTGAGCCGTGTTTTAATACCACATGTTGTGTAAACATTTTTCATTTACCAATCAGTGCTCGGCATAAGAACAAAAATTTTTAAGCTGCAAAAAATTGAAAGTTTAGTGAAATGAATTCTAAAATGCCCTTTTGGACCATCTGTGAAATCCTGCTTTTTCCTCAGCCAGTTCATCATGATGAGCGGCAGTGCAGGCAGTTTATTTTCTGAGAAATGCAAAATACTATGAGTGCCAAGATCGCCTTAACAACTGGAAGTGGGAACCCAATGTTAGTGGTTTTGCTGATACGCATCCATACGTCTCGTGAACGGAGTTTCTTTTTGACAGTGATTGTGGATCAGAGTGGAATTAAACCACTCATCTCCATATTCAGCGTGACGTGCTAAACCACCGCACCACTGAACAGCCAAACGATGAAAAGTGTGTATGGCATCGCCTACATACCGTCTGTCGTCTGACTTGTGCAGCACACCCTTTCAACTATTGCCAGCTTTTCGCGGGACTTCCGTAACAACACGTTGGATGTAGTTATACCACAGTTTCTATACGATACTATGACACTGTTCTGTTGTTCTGCGAAGTTAGCAGATTAAATCCGATTTCCAAAAAAAAATATTAAATAAAAGGTCAAAAGTGAAATATGTAAAGAGAGCTATACCACGGTTTCTATACGATCCTTCCTCTCAAAAGTCTCTTAACATTGTGTCCTTTTCCTGTGCATTTAAAGAAAAAAGAAAAAAAAACCCAGGCTGGAACGCACCAGGCGGGCCGGTGCGATTATGCGTTTTTGCACTTCTC